AAACTGAACAAATTTCGTTATTTTTCAAGTTTTGCATGGCATTTTAACTGTTAATTTCAGAATACTGTTAGTTTTTACTGCAATAAATGACACATATTTGTTTTCAGCGATGTCTCACAAATACAGAAGTACTCATGATGTAGAGGTTTAATGGTGTTTTGGAAAGTTACAGGATTAAATAGGGCATGCAAATTAAATTCAATGGACATTCTGCCTGGGTTGTCAGGCAGGTCCCTTGAATTATAATTAATACAATTAATTAATTATTTAAATATAGTAGATAAATATACACATTGAATATATATATTGTGATAAACTTACTTCCATGTGTGTTTGTCCGGGATCTTTTGGCAACTGTGCAGCCCTCTAGGGTAAGGAAGCCAGGTCAAGACAAAGTCCAGTTTAAAAGGCTTATGGCCTGTTTATTTTCTGTTGGTAATAAGTTGCCAGGTACATCAGGATACAACAGGATATACAAAGCAGAAATGCTTACAAATAGTAGAAAACTTTCTTTCTCCACAAAAACACTTCATCTCTTCACCCTGCTTTAAGAGCAGTTATAAAGCTGCTCACAGCCTCTACAGGTAAGGCTAAGAAACTCATTAGGCAGTGAGCCAGAACTCCTCAGAAAACCTTTACTGGACTCATGCACAGCCACTCTGACAGTGGGGTGGAGAATCGTCCCACCCGAATACTCCACCCCAGGGACCCAAGTAACAACAAAGAAAAAAAAAAACTAAATTTAAACCTAACTTTCCCTGGGGCAGCATGTGCTAACCCACATGTCAGGATAGTGGCAGCGCAAGTCTGGGTCCCAGATATACCCCCCTGACCACCATCCCCAACACTCTGTCACGATATATATATATCAAGGAAGGGTACATTCATAGGTCCCTGCTGTGTGTAAAAAAATATTGTGGTTTATTTTCAAAATTTTTACATTTGTAAAAAAATGCTCGATCAGCATTTTTTTTGCAAATGTAAAATCTTTGGAAATAAACCACAATATTTTTTTACACACGGACGAGACCTTTGAGTGCACCCTTCTTTGATAAATCTACATGTTAATGTGGGATTGTAACAAGGCAAGCAGTGCCTATATATTGTAAGGGTGAGTGCCAAGTATGTCTGTGTTTTTATTTATATATATATATATATATATATTATATCAAGATACGCTTATGACATAATGTTTTAAAATTTTTATTTTATGTATATTTTTTAATATATGTATAATATATTATATGTTTTTAAAACATCTGATTAGCATATTATACATATACAATTCATATATAATTTAATTCTAAGTGTATTTTGGTATTAATATACAAATGAATACCAAAATACAGTAAGAATTAAATTATATGAGTATTATATATGCATAATATGCTAATCAGGTGTTTTAATTAACTTATAATATATTACACATGTACAATGCATGTGTAATATATCATGGTAACGTATGATTGTAACTTTTTTATTTTTATTTTAGGCACTAGGGGGACTGCCTGAACATTCTGGCAGTCCCCCTGCAGGCAGTCTCATAGACTGCTTTGCGGCCATGTGATTTGCCATGTCGTCGTGAAAACATGGCCCTGGAGGGCCGCAAAGGAAGAAGGGGCGTGAGGCAGTCCCCCCAGACCTGGATCGAAGGTGGATCGCCGGTCTAGGTAAGTAAATGGCGGCCGCGCAGTGCAAGATCTTTTGGGCGTACTATGCCGCCCTAACGGCATTTAGGCTCACTAAATGTAGGGCAGCATAGTACGCCCTAACGGCGTTAAGGGGTTAAGTATTTTATTTTGCATTGTATAATATCATATCTGACTAATCCCTGGCACACCCTCCTTTCTCTTTTTTCTTTTCTCTTTTGTCATAAGAGTTTTTGGAGAGAATTTCCCTTTTTCAAGGGTGCTGCCTTTGTATTTTGTTATCTAGCGCTGCTCCACCTCCTCTTTTTTTTGTATTAGTGTATCAAAGTGCAATTTATACATCGCAAACTAAATTGCACAGAAAAAAAACTATAAAAAACCTAAACTGAAACAAGATTGCATAATTTTGCCTAGCAATGATGGGTTGGGGAGGAATGATTACATAATCACATATTGAACTCTTATAAAGTGTGACAAGAGTGCAACAGCAACTCATATCGTTTAAAAAAAAAAAAAAACCTGCATAATGTGAATCCATTTGATGTGCCGAATAATAAAGTTATAGTGTGTGTGTGTGTGTGTATATATATATATATATATATATATATATATATATAAAAATATAAAATAGGTATAAATGAAGAGAGCACTCGATGGATTTTCAAACATGAAGTCGTGTTGTATAAACCGATCAACGTTTTGACCCGGAGGTCTTTATCAAGATGTGTATAAACATAAACACAGTGCTTATATTGGGTATAAAGCATAAAAAAGGTAATCAGGTAATCACTGACCTAGTGCAGGTGTATTCCCTTAGATCCGTGCTCAGACGCTGTGTGGACCGATGGATGTGACCGCGCAAAAACATATGCGTGATGACGTAGTGTGTATAACTACAAGACATGCCATTTAGCATATATAAGTATGTTGTAAATGTGTACATAGACCATGTCCCTTTACTCTCTTGTTTCTCTCCTCTTTCCGGACTTTGGCTTTGCTCACAGTTTTTGTGTCACTGTTGCATTCACTTTGTTCTATCTTTCCACACTCCCCACACTTCACATTGACACATCACCTCTCCACGACCAGCACCTTGTTTCTTATCCCTCCCTCTTTCAATCACTATCCTCCCTCTTCACACTTCCTCTTTCATTACATATCTCTTTTCTCTACACTTTCTTGCTCCTCACTCATCATACTTTATTTCTCACACACATATCTGCTTCTTTCTCTTCATCCACATCTCGGCTTTCTACTTCTCTGGTCTATTACACTCTACAGTTTCACATTGCTGTGTTTATTTATTTATTATTGCAATTTATAAAGCGCACACAGATTCCGCAGCGCTGTACAGTTAGTTGAGAAACTTACAATATACACAAACAAATACAAGAGGTAAGAGAGCCCTGCCCATAAGCTGATATCTAGCCATTGGAGCTCTTTTATACAAAGTGCTTAGCTAGATGGCCCTTGAGGTTACAATCTAAAGGATACCAGGGGGATTTGAGACAAAAGGTAGCAGGGGAAGTTTGGAGGTGATGGCTGAAAGACTTAACAGAGAAGCAGCTATTGGTAAGATTTTAGGGGAGTGAACAGGTAATTGGGTGAGAATCTTGAACAGCTGGAGGAGCATGCTATATATTTAAGGGGAGCCTGGGTGGGCGGTAGGAGCGGAGGGTTCTAGTTCATCTTTACACTCTTTAGTGTATATACATCATCCTCCTTCTGCTTTTATGGACTTTATATCACACACTTATTCTTTTTTCACCACATCACCATGGTTACCAGATGTATTCACAGTCACTTTAAGTTATACACACTACATCATCACGCACACGTTTTTACGCATGCGCAGGGCCGGACTGGGGATACAAAGCGGCCCTGGAAAGAAAATTTGTGCCAGCCCCATAAGTCACTGCGCTATATATTGTCGCGTGTAATATGTAAGGCTATGTCTTGCCAGGACAGATGATTGAGTAATATATATATATATGTATATATATATATATATATATATATTGCTTTTTCTAATATAAAATATTGGTCCTTTCAGGGTAAAACGTTTAATTATACAGTAAGCATACGCACATGCAGACACAGGCAATTTCACTGACATTTCAGTGACACACACAAGCTCATTGATACACAGCCTCATAGACAAACAATCTTACTGATATACATCAGCTCATTGACATAAAAACACAAGCTCACTCACTAGCAGGCACACGCATGCAAGCAAGCTCACTCACTAGCAGACGCACACACAGCTTAATGTGGTGGTACTGGTGTCTATAGCATGTCCTACAGGCTTTTCAACGTAAACACTGACTTTTCAGACAAAAGGCAGTGTTTACATTGCTTCAAAGTGACACTGCTAGTGACAGTCACTCAGACGGTCACTAGAGGTGCTTCCTGTGTTAGTGCCCTCCCGCCCTCGCGCGCTGCTGAATGAGACTGGCGCCGGAATATGACGTCATATTCCGGCGCCAGTCTCATTCAGCTGCGTGCTGGGGAGCAGAGCCAGCACAGCTCGCGCAGCTCCCTCAGCGGCCGCCAGGACAAGTCCGCCAGCGGCCGCCAAAAGACCTCCCCAGCGGCCAGGGGAGGGCTGGCAGCCTTAGGCCTGGGGGGCAAAACCAGTCAAGTAGACTGGTGCACCTGCCCAGGATCAGAGAAGGTGCAAGGATTTTTGCCGCCCTAGACAAAATAAAAATTTGCTGCCCCCACATGTCACATCACAATGCCCCACCCATATGATCTGCCATATGAACTAACGCCAGTGCTGCACACAGTGTGTGTTTACATTAAAAAGCCTGCAGGGACCAGCTATAGACACCAGAACCACTTCATTAAGCTATAGTGTCCCTTTAATGTGAGGTAAATTATAGATTAGTGTCACTAATAATATACTAGATTGCCTACTTACAAGCAGATGAGGATGATGATGGGCTGCAGTTTGGCTCCACTGGTCTGGAGTAGAACAGGATCTCTGGAGGCTGTTTGCAACTGTGGTCACAAAATTCAATGTTCTGGGAGAATTGGAAGCAGCTCAATTTTTTGGGGCCCCTTACACAGCTCAAGGTCTGGGCCCCAGGGCCTGACGGTGAGTATGCCCATAAGGCCCACTCATAAGTTCCACCCACCCATGAGTTCGCTCACAGGGAGTGGAGTGTGTAGGGGATGTGTTATGTGTTATTGTAGAGGATCTAATATGTGTGCTTATGGTATGTAGTGTTTAGGGTTACCAGTTTGTGCAGGTGATGCAGTGTGTTTGTGTGTAGTGGAAGCAGTGTGTATTTGTGTATAAGGGATGTATTATGTGTTTCTGGTTGTGTGTAAGGGATGCATTGTGTGAATCTGTGTTTGTATGCATAAGGGATGCAAGGTGTGTGTCTGTATGTGTGTGCATGAGATGCATTGTGTTTCTGTGTGTATGTAAGAAAAGAAGTGTGTGTGTTTGCATGCGTGTGTACGGGTTTGCATTGTCTGTTTCTGTGTATGTGTGCAAAGGATGCATTGTCTTTGTGTGTAAGGGTTGCATTGTGTGTGTGTGTGTAATGGATGCATTGTGTGTTTCTCTGTGTGTAAGGGAAGCATGTTGTGTTTCTGTGTATGTATAGGGATGCATTGTGTGTGTGTGTGTGCGCGCGTAGTGTGAAAGAGCTCCATGTCTTGGCCCCTGTCCTATAGAGCTGCCCCTTCTTCTTATTCCCCTCCCTCCCCTCTTCTTATTCCCCCCCTCTTTTTATTCCCCCCCTATCTTATTCCCCCCCTCCCCTCTTCTTATTCCCCTCCCTCCCCTCTTCTTATTCCCCTCCCTCCCCTCATCTTATTCCCTCCCTCCCCTCATCTTATTCCCCCCCTCCCCTCTTTTTTATTCCTCCTCCCCTCTTCTTATCCATCTCCCTCTTCTTATTCCCCCTCCCTCTTCTTATTCCCCTCCCTCCCCTCATCTTATTCCCCCCCCCTCTTTTTTCTTCCCTCCCTCCCTCTTATCCATCCCTCCCTCTTCTTGTTCCCCCCCCCTCCCCCTCTTCTTGTTCCAGCCCTCACTCTTCTTATTTCCCCCCTCATCTTATTCCCTCCCCTCCCTCTTTTTTTATTCAGCAATGCGTAACTGTTGTACTTCGTTCGTTTGTATTGCTTCAGGACATTTTATATATGGACTAGCGTGCCTAGAGTGACTGTTTATTCTTTTGTATTTCTTTGTCACAATTCTGCCTTTTCTTTGGTTTAATTGTGGTTTAATTGTGTATGTATTGCTTTAATACAGGCTGAGTGGGGGTTTTTTCAGCAGGGTAACCAGGCGACTTATTTGCATTGTTCATGCAGATTCAATTTCAAATGTAGCAGCTAAGCTCTTTTGATATTACGCCTATTGATGCAGGCTATCTTAAAACATCATTCTAATGTATTGTCCTCCACTTACACTATGTTCTGTAGTTGGAATTGTAACCAAAAAGGATTACATTTAAAAAAAAAGTAACATACACTGATCAACCACAGCAGTAAAACACACTGATAGCTGAAGTGAATAACACTGATTATATTATTACAATGGCACCTGTCAAGGGGTGGGATATATTAGTCAGCAAGTCAACGGTCAGTTATTGAACTTCATGTGTTGCAAGCGGGAAAAATGTCCAGCGAAAAGATTGCCAAGGGCAAAAGATTACATGGCCAAATAGTGATGGCTAGATGGCTTGGTCAGGGCATCTCCAAAACAGCAAGTCTTTTGGGGTGTTTCTTCACTGTGTTTGGTATCTGCCAAAAGTGGTGCAAGGAAGGACAACTGGATAACTGGCGTCAGGGTCATGGGCGCCCAAGGCTCATTGATGCACATGGGGAGGGAAGGCTTGCCTGTCTGGTCAAATTAAACCGAAGAGCTACTATAGCTCAAATTCAAAAGAAGCCAGTGACAGAAGCTAGTCCAATCAGTTACCAGTTCTCAAACAGAATACTTGGTATTGTCATAAACCGAGGCTGAAAGGCAATGGTGTTATACACGTGCAAACAAGGAAACTCAATAAAAGAGCAGAGAGGGTTTTACAGAGTTGGATTTAAATAGGGAATTAATGGAAGTAACAGGAAACAATTACCTCTAAACTCTTTACTAATGGTAGTAAGTAGTAATTAGTGGAAGGAGCTAAAGAGACATTTTGACATTTCCTGATATATCATTGGTAGCATTTACTAGTGAATCTATTTATTTGTATCCTGTTTATTAATATTACTTCTTGTGCAGAGCAGTATAATGTCAGTGATAGAAACATTCTTTGGTCATAGATAGATCTGTAGAGCTTAATAGTTTCCTTGTATTTCTGCTGCAAATTCGGAAAGAATATTATCTCCATCATATCTGTTATTTGTTATATTGATTTTATTTCTTCTTTTTCCATTATTTTCAGGGCCAGTCTGGTATTGAGACCGCTATTGAATTAAAGATCTTGCAGGAGATTCATTAGATTTATAATATCTCCAAAACTCTCTTCTTTATTCTATGCCTAGCTAGATACTGACTTTTCGTGTCTGGTTGGCCGCCTTCCCCCCCAAGGAGTACAACAAGCATCTGGATGTCGAGTAAAAACACCCAGCAGCAATAGTACAAATACTGCCACAAGGGATGACTGAATTGTGGGTATCTGAACACATATGAGCACCACGCAGTACTTAAATTTTAGGCTTAGCTTTACGTGATACGCTGCGTGCATTAAATTGCTATGGGAAAGACTTGCAGTCAATTCAGTTTATATTTCCAAATTCTATTTAGCTAGTCCACAGACATTTATTCTGCTATCACACTCTTTACATGCAAAGAGATGGCAAATGAAGGTCTACTACCAAGTTATCCTCTCAATTTCATTTCAGTTTTACAGCTTCAACGGAATGAAGGAATGTTCCGCTAATTATTTGTTAGCATCTGTCTGTCTTTAGGGAATATAGTGATGGTTGGATGGATATAAGGCTTATTCATCATAATTAACCCACTTACATTTATAATTCTGCCGTGATTGAAGCATGTTTACGTCTAAGACTTTGTTACTTTGTGTAATGAATGTATGCACATTGTATATAAAGTTAACAAGAGTACTTAAGACGTTGAAGTAGAGGGAAGGTGCATTAAGTGCACAGTGCAGTAGTTATACATAAATAATAAATGGGATTATACATGTCCATACATTATGCATAGGCGACGCAGATATACCATTAGGAAAAGGAGGATGAAGTGAACATATTTTAAGCAGAACTGTCACTTTTGAACTTTTTGCACAAACTGACAAATAATGAAAATGTAGGTTGTTTTTTTAATATAGCTGTGTTTTATACTCTATCCTAAGGTACACTATTTGGACCTTTATATTTTTTTCTGTTTTTTTAATATACTTATATGTGCCATGGAGGCGTATTTACATGTATGGCACCACAGAGGGAATTTTCGAATAAATACATTTCCTCCTATGTCTCAGTATATTATATTTTTGAGTGTATCTCTGTGTATTGCTTTGTATTTTTTCTCATTTCTCTCAATCTCATTCCCCCCTCACTTCAGAATTGTCCATTTTTTTTGCTAAATCTCTGTTTGTCTAATGCAGGGCAACCTTTTAGTAGAACTGTGCCAAAACAAGATCTTGAAGCCCGTTGGCGTGCCGGTCCTATTTTTTTAAATTGAGGTGTGTATGTTGCCGTATTATGCTTGTTATTTATCCCCCTAATGACGAGTGACGGACAAGGTCCGTCACAGAGGGGAAACCCTTAACGACGAGTGACGGACCTTGTCCATCAAGCGGGAAAATTAACCCCAGATCACCGCGATCGCGGGGTTAATGGTGCTCCGGTCTGCCTCTGTATTAGAGGCAAACCAGGAGCACCTGATCGGGCTGCCCCAGCACCGCTGCTCGCTCAGTATACTCACCTTCCGCCTCCCTGCACTTCCGGGTTCACTGTGAAGTTCAGGGAGACGGATCATCACTGATCTTGTCCCTGTTAGAAAAAATATAAAGTAAATTTAAAATCCCACCCCCCTTTACCCATTTTAATAAAAAATGAACCCTTTCCCTGCCAATTGATCACTGACTTTTTAACCCTCTGGGGTTTAATTTATTTAATTAACTAATTTAAATATTTTATAATTATATATTTTGCTAGCTGGGGTGGGTGGGAGTTATGGGAAAATGGGGAATTTACTGTTAGTTCTGCTTACTGCTAGTTAGGGGTTAACGGTAAAAAAAAAGCTTAGAAAAATGTTAAATCTGTAAAAAAAAAGTTTTAAGAAAGTTTAGGAAAGGTTACAAAAATTAATAAGCAAAACAAAAGTTTAAAAACTAGTTTTAAAAAGTTTAAAAAAGTAAAAAACTACATTTAAAAACGCTCATTACCACTACACCTGGAACAAATGATCCCACGCTAAGGTTCAAAATATGCCTTTTGAATTACCCCGGGGTGTATTCTTTAATAAATAGTATGTGTTTGTGGGGAAGTTTCAATAACCAACCATCTAAACTACTCCAAATTGGAACATGGACACAGCGTAAAACTTCAAAGTTAGAAAAAAACTGAATGGCTGTGTCTCAAATGTGGCTCTTCAACATCCACATATACCTGGCAAAGGTATATACGGGGTATTGATGTAGTCAGACCACATAGCTGAGCAACATATTGTGGGGATATTTATGGGATAATAATAGTAAACAGTGAGAATTGCCCACTATTTCAATTCTCAGATCCCAAAGAACGTTTATCGTAAGTGAAATGTATTTCATATAATTAATATCACAATGTATAAAAATAGATTTTATTTATGATAATCAATAATTAACAAATAATATTATGTAACATGCATAACAATAATCAATGAATATCCAGTATAAAATGGTATGCAATACAAAGAAATGGGGATTACGTTTCAATGGCTAAACGGCATTATCTGTCAAGAATTCTACGATTTATGATTAGCTTTCACAGACTGAAAGTTAAACTTTTCACAGAAGAACAGAATTCCTCAGAGTGCAGCGTAAGGTCGTAAAGTTTAGCAGACAGTTAGAATAACCCTTTCAATGCTGGTTAGATCTCCTAGGTAGTTAAGATCTATTCTTATGTAAATTTTAAATAAAATAACATTTAAGCCAGTTTAAATTCATTTTCTTAAACCATCCATAAGAGAATTTACCACATTATATAAGCAGATTTTTAATTTGTCTAAAAGATATCTATCTTAATTTAGAGCAAATCAATACACCTGGATAAAAACAGCGGTATGCTAACGCGTGATAATATCACATCAATATATAATTATTCTTAATTCCACCTGCAGAATGGAATGTTTATAACTATATATTCTTTAGTTAACTAAGATTTCTTAATATGGAAATCTGACCGTGCTTTATCCAGTCATATATAATGCTATTAATATAATTTAATTAATTTAATTAATTTAATGAAACCAGTATAATTACCAGTTGAGTAGATATTTCATCCGATTGGTAGTCTCTCTGCATGGAGGTGTTGGTTAGAAAGTCAGTAAATTCTAAGTGTTAGAGTTTTAGGAGTAGAGTGTTATTCTCAGATGTTGTCCGAGTTGGAATCCCCAAACTTCCAATTCCTCTCTTTTCTCTTTTGCATATCTTGCATCTGCCTCCTCTCCTGTATCTCTTGAATCTCTATCTTCCCTTTGTCTTAACTTTTAAAGGGCCAGACTCTCTGTACGTCATCAGTTGATAACCCAATAGAAGCACTAGAGGTGTGGTTATCTTCCAGATCGCAAATTAGTTATTTGGTCTGTAGAGGGCAGTCTT